AGTGTCACGCCAGATGTGTGAGAGTCTGAAAGCGTGAGTGTCACGCCAGATGTGTGAGAGTCTGAAAGCGTGAGTGTCACGCCAGATGTGTGAGAGTCTGAAAGCGTGAGTGTCACGCCAGATGTGTGAGAGTCTGAAAGCGTGAGTGTCATGCCAGATGTGTGAGAGTCTGAAAGCGTGAGTGTCATGTCAGATGTGTGAGAGTCTGAAAGCGTGAGTGTCATGCCAGATGCGTGAGAGTTGGCAACCCTATGAATAGCATCTAGCTCATTTTTGAACTACAAAGTTTACCTTCTGTAGGTGGTGGAAACGATGATAAGAGAAGAAGCAGAAAAAATGTCAGAGCTGTTTAAGACCATAATCACCATGAACATTGACATAATAGGTCAGTTGGGTATGTTAAGTCAGTTGGGTGCTGGAGACAGTGGTGGTTGTGCTTGAGGACATCTGTAATCACCTGTCGCTTCCTCTTCAGCTGGGGCTATGTGTTAAGCGGGGAGGTGTTAATGGTTCTGAAATTAAGGGCAAATCCATGAGCTCATAGATGCTAATAAAAGGAATTTAAAAGGTCACATACCTTCCTCTGTGGAAAAGAAAAAAAACAGGAATTTTGGTGAGTAAAGAGCATAGGAGAGTCATCTGGTAATATCAAGAATGTATTCCTTGCTAAAAGGGACATGCCTCAGTTAAAAAAGAACTACACTTCCCAGCAGTCTTGAGGATACGTAAAGCTTATAATACACTCACAGGCACAGATTCTTTTTCGAAATAACAGACTAACTGGGCTGTTTAATCACTGGGTGTACATTAAATGACTGATTAAATCATTTTATGGGTGAGAAAAAGGGAAAAGGACGTAAGGGGTAGTAATGTGGAGAAAATTTCAGCTTATCACACCAAACAATTTTATAGGAAACTATTGTGCTGAACATGCAGAATAAAATGTGGCTGTTGTCTTATCATGCATGTTTATATTTAGGTATAAATATACACTAACTGTTCTTAATAATGTAGTTAATCAGTTAATCATGCAATTTTAATGATAGATGACACAGTGTGAGACTGCAGGGAATATGTAATGCCACAACTAAAATTCAGGAATAAACATTTACCTTTTGTTTCAGCCACTGTTTTTGTATGAGACAAAAATAAGAAGAAAAGTGAGTTAACGACTTATAAAGATTGTCATTATTTTACAGGCTAATACAACACAAAGGACTCCCAAATAACCACATAATGCTGGACTGGCCTTAGTTTACACCCCAGGCAGGATCACTAATGTGCTGGAGTGTCACTAGTTACCAGAAACGTGCCTCCAATCAGATATTGTCTCAAAATAAATAAGAAATCTTCGCTGTTTGTACACGCTGGTTACTTTTAGGTTAGGCATGACAGGCAAACACGGGGAATAGTATATCCTATACAAAAAAAGTGCCAATATATTGAAACGTGTTAGCTTATCATTTCTAAAAATATATATCAATCAAATCCAAATTGATATATAAAACTGTTCCCACAAATTTGGAAATATAGGATTATCCAAAATGCCTTGGTATGCAAACCAGTGTGACCCAATACTTTTGGCCATATGGTGTGTTTGTAAGTTTCTGTCTATCTATCTGTCTGTCTGTCTGTCTGTCTGTCTGTCTGTCATGTATAAGCAGATAGAAAGATAGATAATGTATCTTGTAATGCAAATTGTACTCCTCCAAAAATAGACTGAATCAAAAATAGAAAATTACCTTCCTCTGCTGCCTCCGCCTCTAGTATACAGAGGTAAGATCAGTTAATGTGTAGAACTGTTAGAGTTACTGATGAATAATGTAAAAGTGGTAAGGAAATTCACTCATCGAGGATCTTACCTTCTTCCCTTTACCAAAAATGGAGGACATGAAAAAAAGGCAGAATGTGGGAAATATTATATTTATAGAGGATTAGATGATTAGGTCTGTGTTGGTTACATGAATTTGATGGGATTTTAATCGTAGCAGTCAAATGTAAACCGATGGAACATTTAATATGGAAAGGTGAGTATCAAAGGTAAAATGCTTACTGTACTTCTTCCACCTCCTCTACTAATTCTTCCACATCAGCCATGTCTGAGTGCACCTGGATCAGGCCGAAAGACAGGAATCACAGCTGGATACTGGATTCCTCAGGAATCCCGCTCCCATTTTCAGCAGCTGACACTCAAACTCCAGTTATGTATGTCTCCTGCTCAGTTTATATGCCAGAGGAACTGACTACCCCAATAATTAGAAGGATTAGAACCCCCCCCCGGCCCATATCACACTTTGTAGTCCCCTGCAATGACACCACAACAAAGGGCTTCACTTGACCTTTCCTTAATCCCCCCTCCAGTGCGGAATGCACTGGACATATTCCGGCCTGGGATACAAGTGCAGTATGATTGGGGGAGGGGTTGAAATTGTACCCTTGGCTCGCCTGGGTGACAGACCCAATAACATGCACAAACCCGGGGTCACGGACACAGTCATGCTTGCTCAACAATGTTCAACAATCATGTGCACAAGTCACGCAACCACTAGGATTAATTCACGCTTCATGGCAAAAGAGGATCCACACTCACGTATCTCACACACACGCAGCAGTGCCAGTCGGGTTACATATACACATTCACACAATGACATGATGACGATGACACTGCTAAATTTGCTGTAGGTGACACACACTGACCCACTGTCCCTTACCTGAGAATAAATAAACCACGTAGAGTATGACTTTGTATAATGTTCAATAAAACTAAAAAAGCTTCAATATATCTATCCTCATAAAAAATAAATTTAAAAAATGGAAGGATGAGTTAGGCAGTGCTAGCGGAGGCTATATTTGGAGCACATACATGAAAATGGCTTGAGACAGGTGTGAAGCTCTCTTCCAAACAATGTAACTTGGCCTAACTGAACCACGGCCCCTTTGGTGTGACCATAAATCACGCCACATGCTCCCTTGAGGGCTAATTTTGCAGCTGCACAGTGGGGTCGGACTGTGCAGAATTTGACATAACATTTCTCATACATCCCACAGCGTTCACCCAGGCTATAGCAAGGGTAGGCTTTTGCAGACAGTGACCATAATCACAGGGTAATTCCTTTTGGGTTTTAAATGTAGGAGAGCATCTGGGCGTAGAATGACAGTGTAGAATGACAGTGTAGAATGACAGTGTCCTCTGAAGGACAAACAAGCATGACTGGAATCTATTGTTAAATCATAGGGCTGCACTATGTTTACAGATTCTGACTCCTAAAAGCTCCCCTTTTCCTCCTCTGGACCTCCACAACTTGCTGCTCAAGGTCACCACGACCTTGACCTTGCCTGGAGAAGCCAGGGAGATATGGAACGAGATGAGAAATAATGTCATATTTCTAATAACCACTTGGGCTCCTTCTCGGTGGATAATCCAAACATTTTGATGGCATGTCTGTCCATCCGTTGTTGACTTTCTAACCACCAGTTCCAGGGACTTGAACTTTGCAGCTTTAATTTTTGTGGGGAGTTCTGTACTACAGTATAACAGCCACCTTCATTTCTCATCAAACATAAGCGGTTGTACGTGCATTATCGTTGTACAGAAATGCCTGGGATGCAGCGAGCTGGAGCTGCAGAAAACATATCTGAGGTCCGTGGGCTGGTCCTGTGGCTCCCGGCCAGCACACATCTCCAAGGACTCATGATCAATCCGCTGAGGATTCACAGACGATTAAACATCTCACTGAGGCATTAAGTGTATTCAGTCTGGTGCCTGCGGCCACCCCCACCCCCCCCACACCACGCTCTGAAAGCCGAGAGCAGGTAGGGAAGGTGACGGATAGCTGCTTTAAAACCCGTTTTAACATAAAACCCCAAAGCATGCAGCCGCCCCAGCGCAGTCTTGGCCCTGGCAGAGAATGGGATGTGTAACATGCCATGTGATCAGGTGCCTACCTGCTACCAACTCCTACCACCTGGTACTGCTGTTAGACACACCTCAGAACCAGATCTCTGGATTAAAGCAAATCATACTTCCACAGCAGAACTCACGCCGCAGGCAGACAAGCACTCCTCTTACCTGTGTCTCACACCTGAGGAACGTGTCTCTTATTCTTTGCTGTGCAGAATTCAGACAGCTTGAGTCAGGCTTCAAGGCTTACAATATACAGCCCTCCCTGGTCATGTGACTTATCTGCCCCGTGATTGGCTAGTCTGCAAAAGCATTATCTATTGTTAGACTGAAGAAGCCTAACATATATGCGTACAGGAGCTGGATTCCATCTTTGTCATTGATGTTTTCTGTGTATTTTATGCCTGAAGGGCTGTAAAAGCACTTCAGCACCTTTGGAAAATGTTTTAAACATGCTAGTCGAAGGATTACGAAAGCATGACACCTTTGAACAGGTACCTCTTTATTGCAGAGTCATTTGCACATTGTTTAAAAATCAGTCATGTTGTAAAGCTATTCATCACAACAAACAAAACCTTTAATAGCTGTAGATTGATGGCAGTTGCTTTTGAGGGCTCCGTTTAATTCCAATACAATGCACAGGTGTGTTTAGAAAAACTGAAACATTAACAGGAGACGAAAATTGCCAAACACAGTTTAGGGGAATTTATTTCACCAACAACTTTCATTGTCAGAAAAAGAGAAGAACAGATTTCCAAGCAATTCTATTGGGAAATCAGACACTTTATTGAGAACCTGACAGCATGGTCTGATGGAGTATTACCATGACTGTTAGCTTAAAAATAAAGTGAGCAGGGCCCAAACCAGCAGTACTGACCTTCCAATAAAGAATAATAAAGTGTTATACGGCCTGGATTTACCGGCCAAGCCTTTGGAATACCACAGTAATATGAGACAGAGCCCAGTGACACGGATGGGTCTAATTTGGGTTTCAGCTCCTAGGGTTGTGTACGAACACCATTGTGGTTTGTGTCCGATTCGCAATGTCACTCCCTCAACGTCGCACTTCACACCTGCGACATGATCCTGAGCAAGACAGTCAAGTGCTTAACCAAATTGCATCTGTGCTCACAAAAGCACATCTATCATTTCATCTGGTTTACAGCCAAAGGTGATATGAGTGATCGTTTTTCATTCCGCTCTTTCTTTAACTATTCAATGCATTCTATTCTGCATTATTTTGACACAATAGAACAACAATAAAAAAGAGTCTTACATTACCAGAACAGAAAACTTCATAATGCATGTAAACCACATTATGCTTTGATGCTCCTTTCCGATTTGGAAGTTGAGGCTGTGGTGAATAAGATCGTTCGCCATAATACAGGCTTTAACTTCGCCTTAGTGGCAGGCTACCTGGACAGTGTACACCCTTGGGCCTTACTCTCATCGTGTCTGAGGGACACGTCTTCTTCCCTGGACTCCATATGTAGTGTTCTTGACGGTAATTTATGCGTTAATAGCAGAAACGAAAGGCCACAGTGCAGTTATCATCCCTCAGGACCGTGACTGTGCTGCAGCGGGATCTCTCCCCCGTTTCAGTGTCGGCCTTTGCTGGTACCGAGCGTCGTCAAACAGCGGAGGAGCACCAGGAGGAACCTGCCGGGTGCCACCTCAGCCAATCTCGCTGCTGTCACACTTTTTTATTTACCGTGACTGAAACCCAGCGTGCCAACACTAAGAGCGAAAGGATAAATGGGACTAGATGAACAATAAGGTTTAACACCCACTATCACTGCCTCCCAGGTGCGGAACAAACATAACTACAACATATTTTACCCCTAAATGCTTTCTTTAATAGCTGGTGATAAGAATACTACATGTGTCAAGAATCACACATAAAGTGGTGCTTTAAGCAGCTCCTTAATGTATATATGCAGAAATTAATCCACTATTTTACTGGTAAATGTTATCAGCAAGCAAAAATAAGCAGAGATCCAAATCTAAGCAATGTGTGCAGTTTGTATTCCTACTGTGAACATCAGACTGAAATTCTAATCACTACTGCTAGCGGCTAACACAAAATACCGTATCAGGCACTTTCCTGGAAGAGTGAAATGAACCTGGATGGTGTGGCAGCAGAGGGAATTTCTCTTTTTTGTTACAAAATATCCTGTGACTCTTCTGGGACAGACCCTGGACAGAACTGTTTGTGCAAAGTATAATCATGTTCAGAAGCTGGTGGTAAATGTCGGAAAAGGACACTTTGCTGAAATGTCACAGTGTAGCCACACAGGTATGTGTGAAACAGGTGTGTTAGAGAGGCAAACAGATAAACAGGCCAGGCTTCTGTGCTACTATAAATCTCATTCTCTTTAGTTTCTGCCCCACTCCCCCTGGGTTTAACTTTAAAATAAAACAGCAAAAAGAAGCAACAACTTTTTTGATATTCAAAATGTACAAAGCAAGGAAGAGGGCCTTGCATATTGTTGGGTCCAGCCATTTTTAGCTGTTCCGGTGTCGTCAGTGTCCCACTCCTGCTGAGAGACAGAGAACAGAAACTGTCAGTCGTGTTTCATAAATGCTGCCTACCGACCTGCCATGTGGTTCCTACTCGGGGTGGCCAGAGTCGGCCAGACACCCTGGCTTTCCGCGTCACTCTTTCTCAGGCTGGCAGGAAGTAGCACTTTATCCACTTGGATTTCCTTAATTGTTTCGCAGATCTGCGAGTTAGCTTGGCGCTAATTCTTCTGCTATAAATAAAGCCTGGATAAGACAGTGTTTGCATGGGGAGCGGCGCTTGGTGACACACCTGCCAGTGACGTGCAGCTGAAGCCAGGGACACTTTGAATAATTGAGCGTGACTGGGCTGTCATTTAAGCGTCATCAGAAGGTCTATTTCAGCTGGGGTATGGGAAGGGTAGGCCGTAAGGGCCAGGGACAGCTATTTCCAGTGGCCCCAAAATGTGGAATGCTATTCCGTTCAGTCTTCTTTGGACACACTGCTTCGTTTGGCCAACCTTGACCACGCAATTGAGGCTGCCATGGAACAGGAGGACACCAAACCCCCCCGGTCCCCCCCCCCCCTTCCCCCCCCCCCCCAGACGGGAGGCTTTACAGCTCGCATCGCTCTGAGAATATGGGCGCTTAGCCATACAGAGCTCCGCTAATCCGGCCCGGCGCGCAGCCGTAATGTGACAATCAAGCAGCTGCACTCAGGCATGCATCAGGCACGTGGCACCCCCCCTGGCATTCAGAAGCCTGAGTGGGGGGGCATAAGGTTCTTTATACTGGGACACAAGGTCAGAGCAGGCAGGCTTCTTTAAAAATAGAGCGTGGGGATGTGATGACAGCCGACAGGCACGTCCCTGAGAAGCCTGGCCTCCCCACTTTGCCTTACAGGGGTGGGGGGACATGGACACACATCATTCACATCGCCCCCTCCCTGTCATACCCTGACCGGAATACTTTAAAGAATGGAAAAAAATCTGCGTGAATCCATACAATTTGTGGGCAGGTTGATGCAGCTGGCGGCCTGGTAGGTCTTTGGGTTGACATATACACTATATGGGCAAAAGTATTGGGACACACTTCTTAATCATTGAATTCAGGTGTTTCATTGAGACCCACTGCCACAGAAAATCAAGCACCTCACCCTGCGATCAGGTTTACAAACATTTGTGAAAGAATGGGTCGTTGTGAAGAGTTCAGTTAATTCAAGCATGGCACTGCCATAGGATGCCACCTTTGCAGTATGACAGTTTGTGAAATTTCTTCCCTGCTAGATATTCCACAGTCAGCTGTAAGTCATGTTATTGCAAAATGGAAGCATTCACGAACAACAGAAACTCAGCTACGAAGTGGCAGATCACTCAGACGCAATGGTGTAAAACACAATCCCACTGGAATCTGAAGCAGTGGAAACATGTTCTGTGGTGTGACGAATCACGCTTCTGTCTGGAAGTCTGATGGACGAGTCTGGGTTTGGCTGTTGCCAGGAGAATGGTACTTGCTTGACTACATTGTGCCAACAGTAAAGTTTGGTGGAGGAGGGATAATGGTATGGGGTTGGTTTTCAGGGGTTAGGCTAAGCCCTTTAGTTCCAGTAAAGGGAACTCTTAATGCTTCAGCATACCAAGACAGTTATATGCTTCCTACTTTGTGGGAACACTCTGGGGAAGGTCCTTTTACGTCCCAGCATGACTGTGCCCCAGTGCACAAAACAAGGTCCATAAAGACGTGGTTGGGTGTCTTTGGTGTGGAAGAACTTGACTGGTCTGCACAGAGCCCTGACCTCAACCCAATCAAGCACCTTTGGGATGAACTAGAACGGAGATTGCGAGCCAGGCCATCATCTTCAACATCAGTGCCTGACCTCACAAATGCTCTTCTGGATGAATGGCCAAGCTCCATATTGATGCCAATGGATTTAGACTGGGATGTCATAAAAGTTCCTGTAGGTGTAATGGTCATGTGTCCCAATACTTTTGTATATACAGTGTAACTCAAATTGTCATATTACATTTAATTTATTTAGCAGCCACTTTTCTAAAGCAATGGCCATTTTTGAGAAAGCAAGGTCTGACAGTCGCTTGAGCCGCTCGGGGCCTCGATCACGGTCCCAGTGCTGACACCACTCTGTTGACCCTGGGACTTGGACCAACAGCCTTCCGGTAGATGCACACATGCATGTACTTGTTATGTAAACCAACCAAAGAGTCCTCAACTGGTTGGTTGAAATAAAATCTGAGTCTGGATCTGTAATTTCTGAACCTGAACGTTCCACCTCTGGTTGTGTAAAGGTCTGCTCATGACTCGCATTTCACTGTAATTAAAGATCCTTAACCTCCAAGCCACAAAAATGCAGAAACACAAAAACTGACCAAAATCTTTTTAATTTAAAAAGCAGCCTGTGATTACCTACAGTATATCTCCAGAGAAGCAAGCTCATGTAGCTCAGCAAGTAGAGTATTACATTAACAGCACAGAAACTGTGGGTGCAAATCCCAAGGAACACACATCATTTCATACTTCTTCCCACTCCTGTCAGTTCCTTTGGATAAAAGAGTCAGATAATGTGTGATGACATCACAGTAAAGGGTGTTTGTTCAGGTTTTATTGGTTTTTGAAATTGCTAAATTTCCCCCAATAAAATACAGACACCACACAGCAGCACACGCTTCTGACTTGGCAAAGCGCTCATGCTTTGTGCTGTAAGTGCCTGGGTGACACAGTTCACTTACCATTAGTGACAGATTTACTCTTCTGTCCAACGGTCACCTGGGAAAAGGGAGAAAAACAAGCAGGTTTAAGTAAGCTGAGTTTTAAATAAGCCGAGTGTTATATGTGCTGAGTGTTATATAAGCTGTTATATATGCTGAGATGCTGAGTGTTATATAAGCTGTTATAAATGCTGTGTTATATGTGCTGAGTGCTATATATGCTGAGTGTTATATAAGCTGTTATATATACTGAGATGCTGAGTGTTATATAAGCTGTTATATATACTGAGATGCTGAGTGTTATATAAGCTGTTATATATACTGAGATGCTGAGTGTTATATAAGCTGTTATATAAGGTGAGTGTTATATAAGCTGAGTGTTATATGTGCTGAGTGTTATATATGCTGAGTGTTATATAAGCTGTTATATATGCTGAGTGTTATATAAATTGAGTGTTATATAAGCTGAGTGTTATATGTGCTGAGTGTTATATATGCTGAGTGTTATATAAGCTGTTATATATGCTGAGTGTTATATAAGTTGAGTGTTATATAGGGTGACCAGATAATCCATGTCAGGGAGGACACTCTGAGCTAGGACAGGAATTGTAAATTACCATTTCAATTAAACGGACCTGGATTAAGCTGTTATAAATGCTGAGTGTTATATAAGCTGTTATATGTGCTGAGTGTTATATAAGCTGTTATATGTGCTGAGTGTTATATAAGCTGTTATATGTGCTGAGTGTTAGGGCCACAATGCATTTTGTATTTAACAGCTCCCAAATCCCAGCACTGCTGTGTGACATCACCTTTACACTGAAGGCCAACAATGTCATTTTTGTTTTCCTTTCATTCCATTTCAAATTTGTAACATATCATCAGTCAAAATCACTTTCTGAAAACTAGGTTTTTAGTGTTCTGTATCATAGATTTTACTTTAGATAATAGAAAACAAAAACATTCAGTTAAGCCCTGAACTCTTCTGCAGCTGTTCGCAGAGGTGCAGGGCACTACAGAGGGTCAAAGCCGTGTCATTCTCTCTCCTTCTCTACGAGACACTTCTTCAGCTGCATTCATTCTCTCCACGGAATAGTATGCCTTGGAGTATGTACAGTAGCAGCAGCCTTCATGCTAGTCAGTGGGAACAGCACAGACCAACTGCCCTCACATGGGGGCTGAACTCAACTCGGAATGTAAGATAGACTTTTCTCAAAAGTGTATACAGTTTAAGGTAAAGAAGCAAGTGAACTTACAGTTTTACCTGGTGCAGTATGTACTTTAATTTTAATTTGATCAGATCCACATTGGTCTGCCAGCAGTGTAAAGGTCTGTTATTCAGGCGTAAAGGGCACAGCCACCACAAAGCTACCAGAGCGAGCAGCGGTGGAGGAGAGCAGGGGGAGGTGTGCGTGGCCAGAGGAGCTCACAAGGGCGTTCATCTTGGCAAAGCTCTCTGACCCTGAAGGCCAGTCAACGTTGACACAAACGTTCTGTTCCTCTGACCATGGCCAATGTGTGGCGGCGAGCTCTCCCTGTGTGGCGCCTTTGGTGCATCCCATAATCCATGTCTCAGGTCAAAGGTTAGAGCATCCACTAACAAAATGGACTGAAGCCCCCAAACCCCCAGCTTGGTCTGTCTGCTGCTGCTACTTTGAGTCACTCCATAATAAGGTGTAATAACTTAATAATAGCATATAATAACATGGCCATGGTCCCTGATTGGCTATGCTCTCCTACATTAGTGCCTCTCCAGCTTCAGGACAGAGCTATCCAAGTGGACATTGAGGCAGATCATAAGTATGCTCAGGCATGGAGGCCAAACAGCAGGCAGTCAAGGCCTTTCCATTAGCTCAGCCTACACCCAGTTAGGGACCGTGAAGTCCCTTGCGGGCAAGGCTGCATCAGCGAGATGTGGTGAACGACCGTGCCAGGTGGAGCTTGGGTTTGCACAAAGCAATGCTGAATTTCTGCAGTGCCTAATCTGCTGCCCGTAAGCTCTGCTTTCTGGGAAATAATGACCACATCAGCAGGATCAGTGCATCTGGTAGGCAGGGGGGGGGGACTGCATATGCATTTACCTCATCCTTTCATCCCAGTTTTAAGGTGAGGTGAACTAACTTTGAGAAGGCTTCAAATGAAACAAACAGGTAAACAGGCATTGTCTTTAGGCATCTGAGATATGAATGAATGTAACTAGCCAAGTTATAACAAGTTCATCAGCTAAATGCTGATACATGGTAATAAAATAATAGAATATTTAATGCAAATTGGGGGATTTTTTTCAGAAATACAGAAGAATATGTAATGATGAATACAAAATGGACCCATGGATCTCCATGGTTACCTTTGTAGCACACTCATTCTTGTTCTCCCACAGGCCACGCTTGTTGGTGACATCACCAGGCTTTAGGTCCTAACGGGGACAGTAATTTTACATCACAAAACCAATTTAGCTCTCAAAAGGTAGAAAGGACTTTGTAGTAAACTGTGGCCATTCTGGCAGCTTTGTAAAGGAACTCCGAGCTGGAAATTTTTGGAGACTCGAAGATCCTGGCATGAATTGTTGGAGGGTGTAGATGTATGATCTTTCAGTGACTGTAATGGCTTAACAGGAAAATGGCTACGTGAAATGATCAGTTACGATCTGGCTCCCCTCCCATGCAACAGTAAGAAAGCTAATAGAGCTACTGCTAACAGTCCAAAATGATCCAAATCAGTGTGGCTAGATCGGGCCGGACAGGGGGCTCTTTTCTGGGTGAAGGAGGACGAGAGTGCCCCCCGCAGGAACAGACTAAGAGCATCCCGGCAGTTTCGGTGCTACTGCCCCTTGCACGGTGGGACATTTTCCCGCCTGCTGCCACAGGTTTTACCAAAGCTTCTTCTTCAAAAACAAAACACACCTTTAAATTTGTACATATGACAATTCTGAATTCAAGATATGGAATTTAATTTTTTTTTTGGGGGGGGGGGAGTGTATGTAGGGCCTGAATTAAAAGTATGTGTGTGTGTGCGCGCGCGAATATATGCATATAAATATACTAGGGCTGTCAAAATTAACGGGTTAACGCAGATTAACCCATCATCATGATTAATCTGATTACATTTTTTAACGCAATTAACCCATCTGCAGCGTGGATTGACTCAAAATCCCTGAAATGTCTCTGTCAACCCGAAGTTTTGAAGCCAGAAGTGACGACATGCGCGCTCCCATTTCTCGGACATCCGAGAAATATCTCGGAGCAGCACAGAGGATCCCGAGTTCAGAATCCAAGATGGCTGCGCCTTTTATCAACAGAAGGGAAAGTTGTAGTTTTATCCTGTTTAAGCACCACTACTCATTTGTGGCTCATTAAATCGGTCGCACACACTATACCGTCCAACTTATCTGTGGATGTGTTGCTACGGAGTTTTATACGTAAAGCACGACGTGTAATGTGTTATCAACTGATATTGCTAAGAATGGCAATTAACCGGGCTAGAATTGGATTTCATGATTAGT